AACTAAATAAAAACTGCAAACATGTCCTTACCATTCTAAATGAGGTAAGTATCTCCTCTCAAAGGAAAGGCAGTCATAGAGGAGCAAACTAGCAAATGGGTAGGATGAGAAGCCCGAGGTGGCTCAAGAACCCTGTCAAGTATAGAACTCACTCCTCTTAGCCAGGACACTGTTACAGTGCAAGTCACTAACTTTTCCTGAGAAAAAAGAAATGAGCAAATATGGTACACTTGCCAAGAATTTTATTGTGAAACTATCTCATAATGAATAGAGCCATTCTTACTTGTATCCAAGTGAAAGAAGTAGGGATGGAATTCATATAGGTTATCATATAGTGTAGAAAAGTCTTATTAATACACAGAAATAGCAACCTAAGTCTAAAGTGTGCCCAAACTTTAATAACCCATACAGTAGTCTTTCTGGGATATTTTGCAACATTATGCCACTTGAGGGCACCAGAGATCCATGCTTTCTGCCAACTGAAATCTGTTTTTTCAAATTCTGCCAGGCATGATGGCGTAATCCTGACACTTGGCAGATGGAAGCCAAGAGAGTTCAAATGTGTGTGTGTGTGTGTGCGCGTGTGTATGAGAGAGAGAGAGACAGAGAGACAGACAGAGAGACAGTCGATACATACACACACCCCAAAACAAAATCAGAACAGAGTTCGTTCGTGAGAGTTCATACCCTTTCAGTGAGTACTACGGACAAAAAGAAATTTTTTGCTAGTTTTTCAAGACAGGGTCCCACAATGTACCTATCCTGGAACTCATTGTACAGCCCAGACTGGCCTCAAACTTTTAAGAACCAATGTGTCTCTGTTCTTAAGTGCTGAGTTTAAAGGTGTGCACCACTAAAGGCATTACCATCAGCATCATTGTATAAGGGTATTACCGATGGACTTGGCCAACTTTTTTTTAATGAATCTCAGGCTAGCATCAACTTACTATATAGCCAAGGGTGACCATGGAATTTGAGTCTCCTGCTTTACCTCAAAAGCTGCACTGTTCTATGGCCGATCCCAGGGCTTTACACAACAGTTAATCAACTCCTTGAGCACTTTCCTCCATCCCAGTGCTCAGGAAGCTTCTCATGGTTAATTCCTCCAGATGACTTTAGTCACATGCAAAGGAAGCAATTTCAAGTTTTCCTGCCTTATTCACTAAGCAAGAATACAGACTTTGCAATAAAGGTGCTCGAAGATAAATGGAAGGTACATTAAGTCTGGTGTTCCAGCTTTAACATCTGATGACTCCTTGCTGTAATGTGGCTCACTGGCCTTGTTCTTCCCTTTTCCTATGGATTCTCACGTAACCAAGGCTGGCCTCTACCTCCCAATGCTAGGGTTAGAGTACACTACCACACCTATCTAGTTTCACCAGCCTCATTCCCTTATACCTTTTCTGAATACCAGAAATTCTCCTATACCCAAAAGCTCTATGTAATGTGCCTTTGCAAACACTTCTTTTGCTTACCAGTTTCTTCTACTCTTGCATGCCCTTAATATTATTCATTAAGCCCCAGGATGCCCTAACATAGCAAACTATTTCCCACTGCTTTGCATTATCTAAATGATGCTATGACTGAGAATATTTATGACTTTCCTTGACTACAAAAATTCAAACAAGTTGCAGGGTAGAACATGTAACCTATGCGTTTGTATCCCCAGGTCATAAATACTCTCTATTATCTTATTTTCTATAAAACATCTACTGCAGAGAAGCCAAGAAATTATCTCAAAGCAGGGTCTGGGGCCATATGCCCTTAAATCCCAGTACTCTAGATACAGAGAGCCAGATTTGAGTTCAAGGGCACATGGAGTTCAGGCTAACCAGAGGTGCATGGTTAGAAGCTTGTCTTAAAGCAAAATAAATAATAGGCTGGGTAGTGGCGGCACACTCCTTTAATCCTAGCAGAGAAAGGCAGATCTCGGTGAGTTCGAGGCCAGCCTGATCTACAGAGCAACTTCTAGGACAAGCTTCAAACCTACAGAGAATTCCTGTATAGATGAATGTCTCCCTTTGGGGAATGCGAATGTCTGTCCTTTAAAACTGTCTCCCACATCCCACCAGTTTTCCCATTTTCTCAGTATATCTTCATTTATGTTATGCTAAATTTCACTAATTTAGAATGGAATGTTTTATCTTTGGTAGATACAGCATTACAGATGCTTTAACAGCAACAAAAAAAGCTTCCTTAAATGCTTAAGGAAGACTAAAAAAGCACAACTAATGGTATATAACACACACAAGCTTTCATTTTCAAATTTCTAGAGGCCTAAATTGTAAGATTTACAACAGGGAGAGGCCAGCAGCAACAAATAGTTCCAGCTGCTTTGGTGACACAATGGCACAGTAGAATGCATTGCAACAGACAGCCACAGACCTAAGGAAAGCTACTAAATCCAAAGAAATACCTTTTACCTCACAATGTTAACTCACTAAAGGAACTCTCTTTAGACAATGGAGAAACTATTAACATGGAGTTTAAGGGGCTGGTCATAGTGACATACAGCCTGTAATCTCAATACTTTAGATACCAAAGCAGGAAGGTAGCCACTGGAACCTACAGAATGAGTTCAAAGTCAGTTTTGA